AGTGCCTCGACACAGTGGAACTTTTCAGCACAAGGCACGGAAAGGCAGGGGAAGTCTTGGCATGGTGAAGAGTTCTGGCGTGGATAGAGTTCCCGCCGAGGAAATGCAGATTTGCATAATACGATTGGCCGATGTTAAATTATTCCCACGTGGCGGCTGGCAATTGGCTCGCTAGCCGTATAAAAGGTTAGGGGCGTTTCTGCCCTAGTTGAAGAACTCCGCAATTCCCCCTGGAGTGGAACTCCGGCAGCTTGATCACCTGCCAACGACTCCCCGTCGACGAAGCCTTGTGACGTATCCTCCGTGTTGCACGCCCGAGTTAGACCCGAGCTACCCGGTCTACAAGAGCTCCTCGATTAGCGACTAGAGATTAGAATTGTTGCAACTACGATTGCCTGCGCTGTATACGACTCTACAGTGTAAGTAAAGCCATCTCTGATTTTTCCAATTGATACGCGTCTTGTCTGTGCCTAATTCCGCTCCGGTGATAGAGAGTACCCATCTGCCCGTCACGGGATCGCAGCCGCAACCCCAGCTAGCGTTCCCGAGGATTCCTGGTCCTCAATCCCCCCTCGGCCCCCACAGAATTAAACCAAATTAACCCTAATTTACATTGAAGTACATGTTGAGAGATCTACACAGACTCAGCTAAATGAATTTAAAATAACACTTTCACTTAAAGTACAACTTTTTATATACAAGTCCTGGACCTAGAAAGAATGCAGGAACTTGCTCGAGATCAGATGCAATAGCTAGGTTGAGCCATTCTTAGTATATGAATTGCTTTAAAAAAGAAAAAAATTGGAAAGCACTACTAAAAAACAAAACAAACAATACAGTATTTAGATGCAACAGATGTACTATATTACATCAGAATGTGAAGTGTCAATTGCAGATTTGAAAGATATGACTTACCAATGCATGGATGATTTTTTTATTTACCATTAGCCTCATGACTCCCATAAGAACAAGTGCTTGCCTTTGCTTCTTCAGTAACATTTTGGAAACAGTCTAGTAATAAGTGAAATACAACAGGACGTGCACTATTTTTGGACTTGAATGTGTGTCCTGAAGGTAGGATTTTCTGAGTTAAACTTCTTCTGACTTCCTTGGAAGCAGAGCTAAGCCAGTGCTGAGCCCTTCTGAAAATGCCACTCTGCATATTAAGATTAAAAGATATTTGTGGCAGGAACCTAAACTGAACTGTTGAAATGATCTCTCTTTCTTATTTACTCAGATAACATGGAAATCTTTGGGCTTCTGATTACAAGTGAATCAGTTTCATAACAACATGAATTAATTGGTAGGGACCTACTTAATTCGTGATTTCATGAAAACTGTGAAATATGAGGTTGTCTGCAAAATTAACAACAACAAAATTAATAAAAATAAAATGCTGGCTCCCTACTGGCCCCCTCAGCCCTCTTCCCCCTCCCAGGGCCTCTCCACCAAATCAGCACTGAAGGGCAGGGTGGCACGAAAAGGGCCAGCAATCAAGATGGCATCTTCCCTCTTGGGTCTCTCTTCCAAACAGTGCTGAGGGGCAAGGCTGCTGCGAAATGCCCACGAAATAGGGTCTGCATGTCGCAAGAGGACCATAAAAAATGCTTCGTCTTATCAGGACTTAGGTAGGTCCCTATCCATTGCTAACACAGTTATAGCACTCTTAACATTATCAATGTGAGATCAGAATCAGGCTCCTTTACTTCTTATCAACCAGATATATATTTGTGAATTATAAACTCTTCCAGGCTGCAATACTTTATTGAATAAGGCCCTCTCTATACATTACATGTATTATGAAATTAACTGGTTAACTGTGCACTTAATTTAGACCAACTACATGTGCAAAATAACTATCATACCACGAAAAGATACAACCAGCTATAAAGTTAGGGCTAAAAAAATATGTAAAACTTTATAAATGGTTGCTATATAGCTTTAATGTGCATGTGTAAGGCCACCTTTACATGTGAAGCTAAAGGCACGATGGGATCATCCCTGGGCCTGGAGGATCACCATGATCTTCTGGCCCTGGGGGTTTCCCGCACCCCCGAGCCCTAGCACGGCAGCCAAGAGTTTCTGCCTCTTGAGCCCTAGGGATTGTGGGAGCTGCAATCCCCAGAGTCTGGGGGTTTCAGTTGATAGGGCTTCCAGCCACAAGGTAGACCCTGGTACATGCATAAATAAAAGCTTGATAGCAACCAGCTATAAAGTTAGTACACATTTTGGAGGTCTAATTTTATTGCTAATTGGAGCTTTTTTATTGTGTGATAGTTTTGCACAGGTTGCTGGACTCCAAATAACTGCACAATTAACCAGTTAATTACACAATACCTGTAATGTGCAGCGAGGCCCTAAGAGTAACTAGAAAGAGACAGGGATTTGTACCCAACCACTGAAAATAAGGCAAAAATTCTCTAAATTAACAAGTTATTTTATCTGAATCAGTTCAATAAAAAAAATCTTATCAGTCTTTCACCATAACATTTTTTACACATGCAACTAATAAAGACAAACAAGTTAGCCCAAGAGATTGAATTTTAAATAGCTGAAATTCATCTTAAGGAGGTTTCTGAGAATCCTGATGTGGAATGCTACATTACATAAATTAGTCCTAACAGATTTCTGTGTGTAGTACACTTAAATAACTAAAAAACAAAACCAAACCTAGAAGGTCATTATATTCAAAGCTAAACAATGTAATTCAAACAAAATTATTCTGTTATTTACTGGGAACATATGGTCAAATGTTGCAACTTACATATTAAAGTGTTTGTTTCCTTCCATAATGCTTTTCACAGTTTCATTTTAAAATAAATGGATATGTATAGCCAGCTGTGAAGAGAAACACCATCTTGTATTCTGTTTAGCATTGTTGTAGCTGGTAAATAGTGAAGATAATGAATAGTTTCAGCTTATAAAAGTTAAATATGTGGGCAGACCTGATCACCAAGCACAGGACTTTTGTACAGGTTAAATACTACTAAGCACTTCACATTTTAAAAGGTCAAGGAACAGTCATTACAGATAGATGTTGGGCCTAATACTCAGAGGTGCCGGTACCTTTGAAGTAGGGCTGTGTGAAGCTTCGGTCCCTGATTCAATCTGGCAGAGATTCGGGCCTATTTGGTGGACGAATCTCTGAATCCAAATCGAATAAGAGGACCCTTTAATGTCTCCGAATTGAATCGGAACCCTCCGAATCAATTTGGAAAGATTCGGTGATTTGGATATAGACACGGCTTTAAACGTTTTTTCTACATACCTCTAGGTAGCAGGCGGCTTCTGAACACTGTGATGCTGGGGCGCATGGAGTGTTCCACGGAAGCATGGGGGTGCTCCCCAGCACACTTGGCAACAGACCTAGAAGGGGACCAGAAGTATTTTTGGTCCCCTTCCAGGTCTGCTGGGGAGCATGCTGTGGGACCCCCCCCTCCCCCCTCGGCTCAGCGACTGGAGCCTCCTGGGTCTGGGGTGGGCACCCAGGGTCCCCCTGTGGCTGATCACCAAGCTGAGGGGGTGTGGGGGACCCCCCTGCGCACTCCCCGGTGGACCCAGAAGTGGACCAGAAATACTTCCAGTCCACTTCTGGGTTTGCCACCGAGCATGTGGAGGACCCCCCCCGCACTCCTGTGGGACGCTGCATCTGCCCAACCATTGCAGCGTTCACAAGCCGTGTTGGTACTGGAGTTATGTAGAAAATTTTTTTAATGTGTCTATGTCCAAACCACTGATTCTCCAAATCAGCATCGAATCTTCAGATTCAGATTCAGCCAAATTGAATCAGGGACAGTGATCCGAATCAACTAATCAAATCACTGTTCCTGATTCAGGCCGAATCCGAATCTTAATCAACTAGGGTCTGCTTTGCACACCCATACTTTGAAGTCCACAAGCTCCTCTTGTCTTAATATGTATGTTGTCAGCTCCTCTTAAAATCAGGTGCATTATAGCTTTGTGTAAATTATGAATTCTATAATTTAGGATTGCGTGGTATGCTGTGCAGAACTAATTTAATAACAAAGTTCTTGCCTCAGAGGACTTATACAGTCTAATATACCTAAAGCCACATAAAGCATTTGGTTAACTATCAATCTTTGGGTATATTTCTAGATCTTGGTATTGGGGACCAATGGAGAGCTAGAGCAATGAGCAGAAAAGTGATGCTGAAAAGATATGAGCTTTGGTAGCTCCATGATTTTTCCTTGGAATATTATTTTTTATCTGTAGTACACATTTTCCATGGCCTTATTTTAACAGGTCTCTGGGGAGACAACAGGGCTTGAAAGGCATGAACAGCATACTGAAATGAAATTACATGATTATCTATTACTTGTACTGGTACTGATGTCATCCTCAAGACATTTTGTATCTAATTGAATGAGGCTGTATACTTATATCTAAATATATACTAGATAATTTGCTTAAAAATTAGATCTAACACCATGACTTAAAAAGCAGTCGGAAGACAATTTTTATGTTTAGAGCAATTAAGTAACTTAGTCTTAGGTCCAATTTTCAACTCATTAATGCTTTTAAGAACCAAGTCTGAACAGTGCCTATAAACCAGAGCCAGAGCCAGAATTATGCTGGAATTTAGGTACTTGCCTACTCAGTGCTTATGTGATCTGGATGCCCCACTCCCCATTGACTGTCTGGGAATCTTAAGTGTTTACCCTTTTTTATGTGTGTTACTCTTCTGGGGCCAGTGAAGACACAATAGCATCGGCTTTAGTTCAAATGGGTGTCCAGGGTCTTGGACAACCTGGTTGAGCCTATGCCACTGCATCTTTGTTACTATGGTTGGTCAGGAATAGCTAAATTAGGGGTGGCTCTGCTATGCTAATATGGGCTGCAATAAGAGCTCCTGATGATACTGTAGACATGTCTTCTGTCATATAGGTGATTTGAAACAGTTACGCTCTGTGTATAATGAGGTCAGAAATAAAAAACAAAAGGATATTTATTAGGCAAACACTTTATTACAAAAGGCCATTACAAAACAATCATCAGATACATACTTACATGAGACTGACAAAACTTTAGAAAACATTTGGCTGCATTCACAAATCCATTACTTGCTCTTTGATAAATCTTTCATTCACTGTTCAGAATCTTATTAAATCTAAATCCAAATGCTTAATTTCCTCAAAACCATATGGGAGCTCTTGAGTTAGCTCATTACTGAAATATGTAGTTTTCCAAAGGACATATCTTATGCTGAGTGACTGAATCTAAAAGAAATATAAAGGAAACAAATTATTTGGAATCAATACATAAAAATGGTTTCTTACAGACCCAAAGATATAAAAAATACCCAAATATGTATTTTTATAATATATGTGTTATTAATTAAACAACTCAGCACACAGAATTTTTGGTATTAACAGATTTGGAGAGCTAGATTGATGCAAGAAACAAGCAATGGTAGAACGGTATCTATTATATTATTAACATACACATTACACATAATCTGATATTATTGTCTATTTGGCTGTGGAGTAACTCGTTCAAGGTCAGCAGGCATGAAGCAGGCAAAAATGCAATTGACAATGGGTGTGGAGAGTAGAGTTTCCAGAGTAAAAAAAAGTGACTGTATTAGCTAGGACCATAACTACAACAGCATTATAGAAGACAAATCCCCAAATCCAAGCTGATTAATACAGGGACCTGGGAGGAGCTTGATAGATTGTTAGGGGCTGGAAAGGACTTTGCAGATTATCTGGTCCAGTTTCCCCGCTCTAGGCAGGAAGACAACTGGGGTCAAGTGACCCCAGTGAGGTGACTGTCCAGTCTCATCTTGAAAACCTCCAGGGTAGGTGACTGTACCACCTCTGGAGGGAGTTTATTCCACAGTCTGGACACCCTTACTGTGAAGGAGTTTTTCCTGATATTAAGCCTGAAATGACCTTCCAGGTATTTGTATCCATTGGTCCTGGTCTTCCCCGGGGCTGCCCTAGTGAACAGTTGTTCACCGAGCTCCTGATGTACTTTTCTGATATAGCGGTAAACTGCTATGATGTCCCTTCTCAACCTTCTCTCTTTTCGGCTTAAAGAGGCCCAGGTCCCTCAGCCTTTCCGCATATGGCTTGCCTTGCAAGTCCCTGATCATACAGGTGGCTTTTTTCTGGACCCTCTCAAGTTTTTCCACGTCCTTATTAAAGTGCGGTGCCCAGAACTGAATGCAGTACTCCAACTGTGGTCTCACCACAGCTGAGTACAGCGGGAGTATCACTTCCTTAGTTTTATATGAGATGCATTGGTTGATGCATACCAGCGTGTTGTTTGCCCTGTTGACCACCGCCTCACACTGATGGCTCATATTCACATGATGGTCAATCATTACCCCTAGGTCCCTTTCGGTGGTGGTGCAAGTCAAGCTGTCACCACTGAGCCTGTATGTATGTTGAGGGTTGTTTGCCCCTAGATGGAGCACCTTACACTTGGAAGTGTTAAACTTCATCTGGTTCCAGTCTGCCCAACTCCTGAGCCTGTCCAGGTCAGCCTGTATCTGCAACCTATCTTCTGATGTGACCACATTGCCCCATAACTTGGTGTTGTCTGCAAACTTGGCCAGCAAGCTTTTCACTCTCCCATCCAAATCATCGATAAAGATGTTGAAAAGCACTGGTCCTAGCATGGACCCCTGGGGGACACCACTGGCCACTTCACACCCGGACAACACAGATCCATTCATGAGAACTCTCTGTGCCCTACCCTGTAGCCAGTTTCCTGCCCACTGTACCATTGAGCAGCTGAGCCCACAATCTTCCAGTTTTCCCAGAAGGAAATAGGGATACTAGATCAAAAGCCTTTTGGAAGTCTAGGTATATAATGTCTACCATGTCTCCCGTGTCCAGGTGGCAAGAGACCTGGTCACAGAAGGAGATGAGATTGGTCAGACAAGACCTGCCCACAACAAAGAGATGTTGTACAGTGTACTGGAATACATCGGTTTTGATCAATCATAGATACGAAATGAGGTATGCAGGTTGTAGCCATATTGGTTTACAGGTAAAAGGAATCAGAACTTGTGGCAGAGGTAATATCTTTTAGTAGACCAACTAGATATTTGCAAAAAAAAAAAAAAAAAGTATTTGTAAGCTTTCGAGCGGGCGCATACATCCTTCTTCAGGCATACGAGAATGCAAAGATTGTAAAATACTCCTACATAGAAATGAAAATTCATATTTCACAGAAGAGCTGAAGGTGCTGTACGATCTCCTGGTTGGAATAGTACATTTTGTGCAAATTAGGCTCAGATAAAAGTTGGAACAGTCTTTGAAGGGTGTGTACGCCTGAAAGCTTGCAAATAAAGATTTTATTTTTTTTTGCAAATATTTAGTTGGTCTAATAAAATATATCACCTCTGCTATGAGTTCTAATTCAGATATGAACTGACACATTTGTAGAGGAAGGCCCAAGCTGCAGAAATACAGATCTGTACTCTTCATCTAAATCAGTCTCCCCAACTGTGAGAACTGCGCTGACTTCACAGGCCCCTTGCTACACATGCTGTGCAAACTCCTGAGGCTCTGTGGGAAGTGCCACCCCACCCCAAGGTGCAGGAGCAGGAAGCAGAAGTTGGAGGAGGAGGGGGGAGTCTGGAGACCCCAACAGCAGCAGCAAGAATGGTGGGTGGGAACCCATAGGATGCATCATGATTGCATATGGTCTGCAGAATGCACATTTGACAGCTGGGCTCTAAAGCATTTTGTGGGTGCAGTGCCTCCCATGCTACAAATAGATGTGCTTGATTGCTGATTTTGCAGGCACAGATACGTCAATAGTAGAGTACCTCTCCTGCCTAATGATGATGTTCTAAAGCTGAGGACTCAGTTTCCCAACCTATCATGGTCCCAGTCTAGTTGGGTACCTAGTAGCTCAGTACTTATGAATGTTTTGACCTTAATACCTGTTCTGGTAGTCAGGTGCAGGAAATCTCACCTCCAGACTCCAGTGCTACATTCTTACATTTTGAGGATCTTTATTCAGTGCTAATATTTCTTCTAAAATGATTTAGACAGTGAAACAAACCCCCAAACAACAACAAAAAAGACAAACATTTAAAACAAGTCAACATAAAATTAGAAGGAAATTATTATGAAGTTGCAATATTTTGGCCAGACCATTCTAGAGCTATTCCATTACTTCCCATTAGAATGTAGCACACTTATACTCTCTAATACTCAAAAAGGCACTGCAGAAAAAGAAGATCCCAGGAGTGAGAGAAAAAATGAACAGAGAAAAAAGCAACATTAACATTACATAATTAAAGGAAGAGGTAGGCATTGAACTATGTACAATTTCAATGGAATGGAGTGTTAATCCAAATTATTTCTGTCCAACTGTGAGTTATTTTTGCAGTACTAACATGTCTGATGTTTGGTTTAATTTAACATATCACATTTTCAAGCTTGCACTCTGACCCTGTTTCTGGTTCTTGGGAGTCCATAATATGCTTTCTCATTTAATCTTTTCTTTTTTTGGCACGTGTTCTTTAATTCTGCTATGAAACTGGTGAAAAGTAGATAGTAGCTTCCACTTTGCAGAACAATTTATATTGGTTCTAAATAGAAACTCATTTCTCTTTCTACTCTATCATTCTATCTTTTCTTTTCTGAAGTATCAAATACACTTACGTTTAGACAAGCGGTTTTTCCCTTCAGTAACTCTTTCAACCTTCAGACGTTCTCAGACATGCTTCATGATAAAAACAGACTGATTTTATTAACACCTAATTAGGACTTCCTTTTTCTGTCTTCAATAATTTAGCTCTATGTACCACACTCATCACCATTGTACCCAAGTAATTATCTGCTCAAGAGCCAGAATGTGAAGCTGATTTATTGGCAAGATAACTATTTCAGAGTAGCAATATCTTATTTTCTTGGAATTCATTATATAAAGACATCCTTCTTAGAAGAAGACTTGTATCTTACCTAAAGATAGACACACTCAACCTGTGGGTTCTGAAACCCAAGTTGATGACCATAACTTTTCTATGGGAAGGGGGAGTTGTACACCTACACCCAGTTTCTGGCACAAAGCTCATATTTACAATTAATTCCTATGGTGTCTAACAAGCACATGCACAAGCACATGAACAAAAAGCCCTACCCTTCATCCCAGAACCATTAAATCCTAGGAACTTAGTACCCAGGGATTTTAGAAAGAAAACCTTCTGCCACAATAGCAATAGTTACAGCTAATAACCTTCAGGTATGTATGTACTATATATAGTTTATGTCAGTATCTATGAGTTATGATGAGCTATGACTCAATTTTCATCAGCTGAGAATCTTGCTCTTTTTTATAATCTTGCAAAAGATTCATTTATTTTTTGCCTGGGGACACTGATCTTGGATGTTTTTCCATACCTTAGTTTAGTTAAATATGAATGACATGTAAATGAAACAATGCACAGTAAAGGTACATGGTACATTATGAAGTGCTTTGCATGGCATGGTGCTTGGTCAAATTCACAATGGTGAGTCCTAATATCAATGTAGCCCCACTTTTACAAGAAAGTCTCTACAGCTTGGAAATAGGTTCTCCTAAAAATGAGGAGGAGCTGTGCCATTCTCCTCTTTCCACAAACTCTGGTGACCTTCTGACTGCCTGTATTTAGTGTTTGAATGCACATTTCATAATATTTTATTTGGATTAAAATAACATAACTTACCTAATATCCATTTTTCTGATAAATATTTTATTTCAGGTTGCTGCTTTCCCAAATATTCTCCTATGCAGATTTTTGCCTGACGCAGGGTTTTACAAACTTTTCCTCCACATAATCGTACAAGTTCACTTAGCTTGTCACAGGGCGGTTGGCTGGTAAGAGATATAAACATTACAGGCTGATTTTTAAAAAGATCCTGTTGGTATTTTTCTGTTGATAGGTGGCGTTGAAGTCTGCAGATCTGTTTGGAAAGAAACAAGGAAATTAATAATGAACATGTATTACTTCCATTTATAGCCGGTAAGTAAAATTAGACTTTGCCTTCAGAAACAGAATTACTGTATATTAGTGCAAATTTTATATAGCGAGTTGAAAAAATTGACTGACAGGAAAACTATATCTAGAGTTGTCTTTTGCTAAAATGCTAAAACAATTCTTTTTAATAATGTCTTCTCATTAGTATTCATAATAAAGTACCTCAGAATACTTTAGACTAGTGCCACTAAACCTTTTGATGCAGTGGGCCAGACGAAGGGCATGGGGGCCAGTCTGTGGGCTAGAGTAGACCCTGTGTGCCAGGATAGGGCTTCGGGGCCCCATGCTGCCGTCACCTGGTCCTGTGTGCAGGGTTTGGGCTCTGGGGGCCCTGTGCTGCCTCTGCCCTGTCCTACATGCTGGGATCAGGCTCCAGGGGCACTTCCCACACCTACATATTGGGATTAAGTCCTGTACCATCCTGCGTGCCCAACCTAGCACACAGGACCACAGCCCACAGGACTCCCCAGAGGTGAGATCACACCAGAGGTGAGATCTGGTCTGGAGGCCAGGGACTGAACACTCGTGCTTTAGACAAGTATAGCCTGTGGCCACAAAGACAAACATATTACGTAGATAAAGGTTGAACAGACATTCCAGGTACTTTTTTACAGTGCTCACCCAAAATGCTTACAAATATATAAAGCCAGAAGGTAGTTGAAACAGAAGCTCTATTTGGTTCTCCATTCTCCCCTGAATTCTCTCTCTTCTTGCAGTGGAGGTAGAAGGATTAATCTTTCCTTCACATATTCATGCTATTTTTTTTTTTTTTTACTAAAAGTTGGTGTTAATTAAAGTGGCTTTATGATTCTCTTTGGCAAGTGAGCATGGTGGATATTTTTAGGTCCTGTAGCTAGTAGTTCCAATAATGTGGGCAAGATGCTGAAAAGCTCCATCTCATAGAATCATAGAAAATTAGGGTTGTAAGGGGCCTCAGGAGGTCCTCTAGTTCAATCCCCTGCTCAAAGCAGGACCATCTCCAACTAGATTATCCCAGCCAAAGCTTTGTAGAGCTGAGCCTTAAAACCCTCCAAGGTTGGAGCTTCCACCACCTCTCTGGGTAACCTGTTCCAGTGTTTTAATACCCTCCTCGTAAGAAAATTCTTCCTAATATTTAACCTAAACTTGCCTTGCAGCAACTTGAGACAGTTGCTCTTTGTTCTATCATCTGCCACAACTGAGAACAGTCTAGCTCCATCCTCTTTTGAACCTCACTTCAGGTACTTGAAGCCTGCTATTAAATCCCCTCTTGGCCTTCTTTTCTCTGAACTAAATAAGCCCAGTTCCCTCAGTCTTTCCTCAGAAATCACGTGCCCCAACCCCAGAGCCATTTTGCTGTCCTCCGCTGGACTCTCCAATTTGTCCATATACTTTCTGTAGTGAGGGGCCCAAAACTGGACACAGTACTCCAGATGTGGCCTCACCAGTGCTGAAGAGGGGAATAATCACTTCCCTTGACCTGCTGACAACACACATACCAATGCAGCCCAGTATGCCATTAGCCTTCTTGGCAACAAGGGCACACTACTGACTCATATTCACCTTATTGTCCACTGTAACCCCCAGGTCCTTTTCTGCAGAGCTGCTGCCCAGCCAGTCAGCCCCCAGCCTGTACTGGTGCATGGGATTGTTCAGTCGTAAGTGCAGGACTTTGCACTTGTCCATGTTGAACCTCATGAGATTCCTTTTGGCCCAATCTTCCAATTTGTCTAGGTCACTCTGAATCCTAGCCCTACCTCCAGCATATCTACTACTCCTCCCAGCTTGGTGTCATCTGAAAACTCGCTGAGGGTACACTCTGTGTCATCTTCCAGGTCATTGACGAAGACATTGAACAAAACCGACCCCAGGACTGACCCCTGGGGCACTCCACTTAATACCACCTGCCAACTAGATGTTGAGCCATTGATTATTACCCTCTGAACCCAATGCTCCAGCCACTTTTCTATCTACCTTACCATCCATTCATCCAGCCCATACTTCCTTAGCTTGCCTGGGAGAATGTTGTGGGAGACTGTATCAAAAGCCTTCTTATTACTGTGGTTATATGTGGATCACTGTTCAAATAGAGACCATAAAATCTATATCTTAAATATAGTAGCCATCTTTTGAGCTAGCCCAGGTCCATTGAAGACTTTGACTGTTTAGATGACAACATTCTAAACTCAAACCTATATCTGACTTTGTGCCAGTTGTAGAAGACACTAAGGCTAGAAATAGATGTCTCCAAATGAAGCAGATCAGCGGTGCGAGGCCCAATTGATTCACTTATTTGGGCCAAGCATGTATCACTTGTCGTCCCACCCGCTGATTTCCTAGGACAATGGGAGACATGTTGCCTGCTTCCAGAGATGCATCTTTGGCAATCTCTGGGGTTTCTAGAGATTGCCACAGGCATGCCACTGCAAGTAGGGAGCCTCGACTTCCCTGCTTCCAGAGATATGCCCCAGAGATCCCAGGACTACATCTCTGGAAACAGGGAGAGCTAGGAGAGTCCACTGCAATCCCAGGGTATTTCCCAGGGCACACAGGACCAGCCCCATAAGCTCCAGAAACGCTTGTCACAGGCCACCAGACCTCTCTGTGCTCTTCTGCCATAAGGCAAATAGATGTCCACTGCAATTAAGTGGCATGTTTTATTTCTACCTTTTGTCGTAGCCACACTGCGGTGCGACAAAAGCAATAGACATCTATTTACTGTTACTCTGTCACCACAAGATTTTTATAGCGGCACAAAGGCAACATCTGTTTCCATCTTTAGGTAAGCCTGTAAAAGTGGATCTTGTGTATGTTGGATTTTTAACACTGTTGTAACCACACACTTGTTAAATACCTTAAATCCTTAAATTAGCGGCAAACCTCCAATTTACTTCTACTGGAGAATGAACAGACATAAAATAGCTTACACCAGCTAACTTCCGGTTAAAGATTAAATAAATGGTATATGTAATGGAATGTACTATACTTATTACATGTTAAATATCAGTCCTTATAAATACCGTGCAGTCCTTAACACAGTTAGAGTTCGTTGAACTTAAAATTAAACACATTTGTTTGATGTATGTAAAGCAACTCTGACAATTCTCTCTCCTCATAGTTCTAGTGTACACTAGAAGGGCAGCTCAAGCACTGGAATGAAAAGCCATTTCTTTCATTTCCAATATAAACAAAAGTGTAGAACTATTCTGGTCAGGGTACTTGTGATGTACTAAAGTTTTTTGTAAGGGATAAACATTTCCTTTAAACTAGCCAGAGCTGAAATAATCAAATCCTTGTAACAGAAGGATAAGGATTTTCAAAAATCAATTTATTGCAACATGAAATGATGAATCCTAAAACAATGATTCAAAATGATGTCAATAGTAATGGTTGCTGCATGTTGCACCAGGTCAAGCCTTTTAAGTGCCTGTGGTTTCATTTCAGTACAGAAATATAAAACAATTTCATTCTGATGTCCTAAATTAGCTGTGGTGATCTGTCAATTTTTTTCTGCCAGGATTTGGCAAAAAGGAAAAAGGCAGCATTATTTTATTTATTCATTTTTTAAAAAGCTGCTATTCAGGTTTCCATTACCAGTACTTATTCCAGGAGCATCCTAACTTTGATAAGTGAGATGGCAAATATCCTTGATGACTTGTTCACTAAAATGCCTCCTTCTGGCATTTTAGAGCTTTAAGTACAGCCTGAGGTGGAATCGATTCAATCTTCGTAGGTTTTTATATGCTGTGTAGATTGGATCAATAATGAACTGAACTGATGTTCAGTGTTCTAGTGGCCAAAGCAGGCAGAAGACTGCAGTATAGGGCAGAACCTTGGGGGTGCTCACATATGCCTCCTGTCATGCTGGACACTGCTGAAGGCTGCCAAACCCAGCCAACTGGTAGCCTACACTTGACTGACTGCTGGACACGTCCCCACCCCCTGCTGTCAGCCATAGGGATGGAGAGAGCTAGCAGGCCAGCTCTCCTCAGCCCTGCCCTCTCACTAGTCACCCGCCTCTATGACAGACAGAGGAGAGGCAAGGGAGAAAAAAGTACCCCCAGCCTGGCACCGGCCCCCCAGCAGGGGTGCATGGCATAGGTAGGAGGAGGAAAACCCCCACAGAGGAGCTTTTCCCCCACCCACAGCCTAGCGAGTCAGCTGGGAAAGCCCCAGTCCTGCCCCCCTGCCAGCCTTTCTGAGAGGTGGGGGCTGGGGAAATGCACAACCTGGCCCAACACCTCCCCCCTGCTGTGCAGAGCCCGTGGGGGTGCTTGCAGTGGCTGGGAATGTGTTCCCCCCCACCTCTCAAAGAGGCAAGTGGTTGGTGAAGGGGCGGGACTGAGCTGATCCCAGCCTAGGTCACAAGGCTGCAGGGGATGAAAAGCTCCCATTTTGGGAGCTTTACCTCCCCCTGTGCTGTGCAGACCAAGGCTAGGGTGTGTGGGGGTCTGTTCCCTTGCTTCCCATCCCACCAGGCTGAGAGGTGCAGGCAGGAATCAGGCTAGGGAGCAGAGGCTTTAATGCCTCTGCTTTGTGACAGCTGGAGACACAGCTAGCCCTGCTCCACTGGAGCAGACAGCACAGCCTAGGGCTGCAAAGAATCCTGGGATGCTGGAGGCCTGTGAGGTAACTTGAGTTGGGAGGGGATCTGGGACAGAAGTTCCATAAACTAGTTTAACCTAAATCAGTTAAGTTTAACACTACATCCATCCAGGTTTATCTTAAACTCAGTTTCTTCATCTTGAAACTGGTTTATGCTGAACTTCTGTTCTGTTACAGGTTTAAACTGGTTTCTGATCATTTAAACCTGTTTGTATGTAACTTCTGTCCCTAGCCTATATGGCTAAGTAGAGACAGTCAGAATGCCTGAGGCTAAATCAATTCAGTCTTCACAGGTTAGTCACCGTCTCCTCTAAGTTTAACGATGTGTCTAATAAAAACATA